ATCCTTTGACTTTGAGCCTATTTTTATCTTTTGTAGCTAAATGTGTTTCCTGGAGACAGCAAAAGGTTGGGTTTTGTTTCTTAATCCAGGCTGCAACTCTGTGTCTTTTTATTGAAGAGTTTAGTCCATTACATTTAGAGTTAATATTGATATGTTAACATCTGTATTTGCCATTGTGTTTGTCTTTCCTTTGATTTTATTTATTTATTCTTTTAATAACTTTTTTTTTTTTTTGGCCTTCTTTCATTGTTATTCGTCCCTCTGAGGTTCTGGCTTTAGGACTCCTTGTAGTATTTTTTGGAGTGGGGGTTTAGTTGCAATGAATTTCCGGAGTTTCTGTTTGTCTGGGAAGGTCCATATTCTTTCTTCAAAGAGGAAGGAGAGCTTTGCGGGATAGAGTATTCTTGGTTGGCATCTGTTTTCTTGGAGTCTGTTGACTATGTCCCTCCACTCTCTCCTTGCCCGTAGTGTTTCTTCGGAGAAGTCTGATGTCAGCCTGATTGGCTTTCCTTTGAATGTTATCTGTTTCTTCCCTCTTGCCAGCTTCATTATTTTTTCCTTGTCCTGGATTCTTGGGAGCTTTACTATTATGTGTCTTGCTGTATTTTTCCTTTCGTCGTGGAAGTTTGGTGTTCTTCTTGCTTCTTGTATATCAATTTTCAGCTCCTTCTTCACATTTGGGAAGTTCTCTTCAATTATCTCTTTGAATATTTTCTCTGTTCCTACTTCTCTCTCCTCTCCTTCTGGTATTCCTATAACTCTTATATTTCCTTTCCTCATGGAGTCAGATAGTTCCCGTAGTCTTTCTTCGTTCTTTTTCCTTCGTACTTCTCTTTCCTTTTCTGTTTTGGTTCTTTTTATTTCTGTGTCTTCAAGAGCACTTATTCGTTCTTCCATTTCATCAATTCTGCTTTCATTGCTTTTCCCAGAATTCTTTAGTTCTTCCACTAATTCTTTGATCTCCTGCATTTCTTTTACTTCCCTCTTTAGGGACTCAATTTCATTCTTCTGATCGTTGATTATTTTTCCCTTATCATTGTTTTCCTTTATGACTTCTGTCAGTTTTTTAATCACGGCAATTTTAAATTCTCTTTCTGGAAGGCTCAGAAGTTCTTCCAAGTTACTGTCGTTGCAATCTGGGGGCTGGTTTTCTTTTTGTGGTGTGCTTTTTCTCTGGAGAGTTGCTAGGTTGCGTGTGGTTCTTCTCCTCCCTACTGTCTGTTTTCTAATTTGCCGTATGCGTTGGGACACTGTGTTGTTGGGACTGGCCGGCATCTTGGGTGGGCTTCTCTTCTCCCCTCTGGTTCCTCCTGGAGTCATCTGTCAGTTTCAAGCAGTCTTTATTGGAGAAAGGTCCCTGTCCTAAAATGTCGATGTGGGGACACACTCCCCTGTGCGCCTGGTCTGCCCCGGCGGTGGGTTCCTGCTCCCCCTCTGGGCTTGGACTGCAGGCCAGAGGGGGTCTGGCGTGGGCGAACTTCCCCCGCTCACCTCTGGCTCCTGAGGAAGCCTTCTGCAGGTAGTCTTTACTGAAGAAATGTCCCTGTTCTAAAATGGTGATGTGGGACACACTCCCTGCGCGTCCGGTGTCAGGCACACTCTTCTGCGTGCCTGGTCTGCCCTGGCTGTGGGTGCTCGCTCTCCCTGTGGGCTCAGACTACTTGTTCGGAAGGGGCTGGGTGTGGGCTAACTCCCCAGCTGGCCACTTGTTCCTTCAGGAGCCTGTGCTGTCTACAAGTCGCTAGGTGGCGCCAAAGATCTCTCCTAGAGCCCTTGGGGAGCTGATTTTCCACGCCATGGGACAGGGAGCAAAGCGGGGATGGTAGGGTACACCTCAACGGCTTTGGGGTGCTGTGTCTGCCTTGTGCCCCACCGTCGTGGGGAACCCACGCCCCTAATTTCGTGCCCCGGGTCTCAGTTCCAAAGCCCTCAGTTCCAGGACTCGGGCTGTAGCCCAGTTCAGTGGCGCAGGAAGGGTGCCTTTTGCACCGCTCCCGTGCCTGGACGCCTGGTTCCTGCTCACTCAGGGAGGGACCTTCACCTCAGTGAGGACCTCCGCGCCTCCCCGCAAGCCTAGGTCGTCTCCCAAGCCTAGGTCGCAGGCGCGGGGACCTGGGCAGCCGCGATCCTGGTCTGCACTTGCTTTTCAAGCGCGCCGAGCGCGCCGCTATCCGCGCCAGCTTACTGGCAGCCCGGGCTGTGTGCGCGTCTCCCGGGGTCTTTGTTCTTCTCTAATGGCGCCCGGAGCCGTTCGCTCACCGCCAGGGCGAATCCTGCAGGGTTCTCCACAGCTCCCGTTCACGGGGTGTGGTGGCTGCAATAGTTCCTTTCCACTCACAGTCCCGCTTGCTGCGTCCGTTTTTCTTGTTGGCCGTTTTGTTTTGGTTTGTTGTTTCCTCCCCTCTGCCGGTCGGAGAGTGCAGCCTCTGTGGGCGGGGGAGGGGAGCAGGGTTCTGCGCTTCCCTCCCTTCTGGTCCTCTTTTATGGCCACTTTCTTCTTTGGGCAGTTTGCTGGAGTCACCCGTTTATCTTCCGTGTCCCAGTTCTCACTGGGACCTGCCGCTTTTCCTCCCTATTCACTTTTTTTAATGGGAGATCTTACTCGCAGCGTCTCCTCGCCGCCATGTTGCTCCGCCCACTATTGCTTCTTGCATCTCATTCTTTCCCTCTGAATTGAATATCCTTTTTCCGAATTATATCTTTAGAAATATCTAACAATATCAAATGGCTTTTGTCCTTTATTTATTTTTTAAAGATTTATTTTTTATGTATTTATGCATACAAGAACTGGGGGGTAGTCAGAGCTATGGGGTTGGTGGTGAGAGGATTCAGTGGGGAGCAGAACAGGCAGATCACTGACATGCACCGCACAGGGGAGCAGCAGACAAGACTGGAGAGGTCTGTTGCACCAGGTGGGTTAGCACCCTGGAGGGGATCAAACTCATGCAAGCAGTGGCTGGTGATAGCTTGATAGCACTGAGACTTGAACTGCTTGTGCCACCGGCACAAACCGGCCGGTTGGGATCGAACCTGCGCTGCAGAAGCTGCGAACAGCTACACAGTGTGGCACTCAACCGCCTGCCCAGGGAGGTCCCAATCCATTATTTTTTTAATCTTCAATTGTTATAGCTTAGAAGTTGACTGTCTTGTCATCCATTTCTTTTTGGTTGCTTTTTAAGATTAATTTTACTTTAATGAGCTTAGATTTGAATCTCATTTAACTTATTTTGCTCAAGGTTTATTTTCCTTCCCAAATCTAAGGATTGATGTTTTGGATCAATTTTGGATAATTCTTACCCATTAATCTCTTTGATTAATACCTCTACTACATTCTCTCTCTTGTAAATGTGTATGTTGGACTCCTGTCATCCATGTTGTTTAATGCTGCTTTCAGATTTCCCATAACTTTAACTTTTTATCTTGCTTTCTGGGTAATTTTCTTATATTTATTTTTTAGTTTTCTATTCTTCATATATATTCAGTCAGTTGTTTATACTGTTCCTTGAGTTTTTAATTTCTCATGGTACTTGTCGTTTCTTGAAGTTGTATTTGGTTCTTTTTTTCAATCCTATTTTTTTTTCCTAAAACATATTTTACTCCATCTTTTATAGTTTTAATCATTTTACACATATTTTATGATTTCTATCTAAAATTCTTGGCATTTAATCATACCCTGCATTGTATTTGCTACATTGTGATGGATTGTATTATAAGTTTCATATACTGAGTTTGTCTTTGGCAGAGTTAACGGGGAGACTGCTGTGGGGTATGCAATGTTCCTGTGGAATAGGTCTTTGTTTACCTTTGTTAAGTGTTCATGTGACCATGAATATTTCATCCAAGTTCCAATTTTTATGTTATTTTCTTAACATGAGTGTTCCTAGAGCATGTTTATAGGGTAGAGAGTAACTCCAAGCTTAAACTAAAGTTTAAGTATATAGTACAGATCCACAGTTGTACATTTTTGGGACATCTTTTCCCCTCACTCCAACCCCAGCTCAAGAAAGACCAACTTTCTTTTCTTGTTGGGCATTGATGAGGAACTAAAGAAATCTACTCTTCCTTTATTTCTGGTCCTTTGTGATTTCCACCACTTCATTGCAAATTTGGAAAGGATGTTCGTTCTTTTTTTATTTAGACTTTAGTAGTAAGGGGTTTTGGGGAAACTAAATAGGCCATATTGCCAGAACCAGAAGTCTGGGGAAGTCAGTTCCATGTATTAAAAAAATTAATCATATAACATCGTCTCTTACGTGGAATAATTTTAGTGTGCCACTAACAAACACCAGATTTTAGAATATGAGACATTTGGGAATTAACCATCTCTGTAGTTCATTCTTTTAAATTACCTGGGAACTATTTTTTTCTAAATTTGCATTGGAGATTTCTTGAGACCATGTTCATTAAATACCAAATCTTGTAGACAATAAGTATGGAACAGAGGCTATTTGTGTACTTGTTAAAAACTCTTTCAGGAACACATAATAGAACTCAACTCCAAATGGCTTCAGTAAAAGGGGATATTTATTGACTCAGATAGCCAAAAAATCCTGGGTTGTATTATTCAAGTACAGCTGAATTGACATGCTCAGAGGATGTAATTAGAATCACTCTCTTTTAATCTCTTGGTTCTACTTTTTTTTTCTGTGTTGGCTTCACTCTCTTTTGGCCTCTCCATTGATAGTGACAAGATGTTTTCCAACACACCAATTAAAGAGAGCTCTAGCAAATATTCTGGGACTCTAGCTTGCTGGACTGCATCAAGTCACTTGTTCATCCCTGGTCATTCCAAGTGGCTGAGGGGTGGTTGATATGTTCTGATTGACCAGTCAGCTTTAATCAAGCCACATAGACTGGAAATAGAGGAAAGTAATTCTCTGAGACAAAAATTGCGGTGCTGTCACCAGAAAACATGGGGCTAGGAGATGGGTACACAGAACACAACCAATGCGTCTCGTAACCTCTCTAATTGCTTTTTTTGTGTTTGCTATTCATTTCAGGATAGTGTTGAATTTAGAAACATCTGCAGTCATTTGGCTCTACAAATCGAAGGACAGCAGTTTGACAGAGATTTGAATGCTGCCCACCAGTGTTTGAAGACAATAGTCAAGAAGCTGATTCATTCACTTGCTAATCTTCCTTCGGATGCCCATGTGGTAGCCTGTGCTTCCTTGAGACAGATCTTACAGAATCTCCCAGACATATGAGTTTAAGTACACTGGAATTAAAACCATAGCTAGCACTGCTAAGAGAACTGGTGCTTTACCTTCCTAACTGAATCTGGTTTGTATTCCTAGTAAGGAGACTTGCTAGCATATAGAGCTATCTGACCAATGCCATCTATACCCTTCAGAATATAGCATGTTGGTGAACTTTTTTTAAAGCAGTAGGTCATATTTCTAAGATTGTTGATATATTGCTGACTTTTTGATTGAAACATATTCCATGTTTTGGAAATATATATATATATTTCATATTATTAGTTTGATCAAATATCACCTTAATCTATATTCATATTAATGTGGGTCTATGAGATTTCATATGGTTATTTATATGTTAAAGCTTCATGGTCTTAAATTGGCTAAACAGAATATTTGATAATTGATACATTCTATTTACTGGGCAATTCACATTATGTTATGAGAATAATCTTTAGCTGTTGTAGGATCACGTGTCAGTAATTATGAGTTTCAGTTCTGGTATTAATAACTTACCGTTAGTAAGGAGAAGAGCTGCTTCTAAACCTTGTGCTTTTATGTATTGATTTGTAAATTTAAAATGATAATGAGCTATGAAGTACCAATGATATATGATATACAAACACAAAGTACATTATTATTAAAGCCTCATGTGAACACATCTAGCTCCTCTTACTATTTCTGAATATTCCAATTGAAGTAGGAAATTCTTGTGAAAAAAAGGGGGGAGTGGATATATTGGCAGGTTTCCCTAAATATTTAGAGCTAAGGAAGGAGAGGGTGACATTTTTGCAACAACAATCTACACATGCTTAGGAAAAACGAAATTTCCTGATGTTTAATGGTGACTGTTGAGAACCAAAGTAAATTGAAATGCTGCTTTTCCCTTAAAATTTTAATAGAGTGGCATTATATTTAGGGAAAAAATATAATGTATTTGTAAAGTTTGTTTTCTAAAGGAATCATAAACTGGGCCAGTCTATGTGGTGAGAGTATATTTACTATTGAGAAGTAAAGTGTCAGTAGTAATCAAAGACTTTTTAATTCCACATACTCTCGTCTTAGTAAGTTCCAAATATTTTCTTGCAGAATCTTAGGAAAATACTGCTTCTCTTTGAAAAGTAACCATTTGCACAGAAGAGAATTAGATAGATGAAATTGAATTATAAATGTAAGATAAAAGGTGAGTGCCTGGAAAAAATGGCATTTATTTCTTGGGAATAAATTCCTTTGGCTTTTAGTTCTCCTATTCTTTGGAAACATTGTATTTTGGGAGTATCACTGTATTTTGTGGTGCTATCTTTCCCCAGAGAAATTATCCCAGGGCTCTCCTCTAAAAGTTTATCATTATTTAGAGACTGCCTGCTCCATTGTAATCAATAACTCTCAATAAATATTGATGTTTTCAATGATGTTTTTACTTTTACCCCAAGAAATATTGAATATTTTTGCCTTTACGTCTGTGCTGTGCTTTTTCCTCACTTTGTAATGTGTTTTCCATTGAAAAATTATCACCCTATTGAACCTTCAAGACTTGATTTATCTCTTACCCCCTTCTATGGATCTTACTGGAACATTTTATAGGGCATGGGCTTTTCTCCTTTGAACTCATATAAAACACTTTTGTGCTGGCATTCATCACATGCTATCCCGTAGCGTGGCTATAGGTACACCTTCTGTCAAGTCAGCCTTCAGAGGGCAGGGATTATTCTAGACATTTTTGTACATTGCATAGCAGGTACAGTTCTCTTTGATCCTGCTAGAACTTCCACAGCCCACATCCATTCTTACTTTGGTGGTTTAAGTTCCGTGGTCAATAGAGTGAGATGCTGTCTCTCTGTGGTTTTGATTTGCATTTCCCTGATGATAAGTGAAGATGAATACTTTTTCATGTGCCTGTTGGCCAGCTGTATATCTTCTCTGCAGAAATGCTGATTTAGCTCTACTGTCCATTTTTTGATTGTGTTCTTTGTTTCCTTTTTGTTGGGATTGTATGAACTCTTTGCAGATTTTGCATAGTAACCCTTTGTCAGATGTATGATGTGCAAATATTTTCTCCCGTTCAGTAAGGTGTCTCTTTGTTTTGATTACAGCCTTTTTTCACTGTACAGAAACTTTAAAAGGCACATCTTCTACTTTGTTATTATGGAATACTTTCTCCTACAACCATGTCATCATCATTGTCATTATCATCATCATCATTATCAAAAACAACAATCTTACTGAAATTCCTACATTTATGTATCTCCAGCAATGTTCAGGGAAATTCAGTCATCTTGGAATCAGGTCATGGTTGTTGGTTTTGTTTTTTTGTTTGTTTGTTTTACTTAAGGCCATGTAGTGTCCTTATGTGAGGACAGTTCCTAGATTTCCTTTCATAATGCTGAGAAGTTGAGCCATCTGATAATTTCTTTGCTGGATTCCCTTGGATGCTTTATTCTTCCATTTCTCTGGACTCATGTTTGGATGCTTTGTCAATAATTGATTTATGGATGGTAGAAATATATTTGATTAGGGAATAAAAATAGGGGTCATGCCGGGTACTTTATAGTAGAACTGGACAAGCAAGTGACAACATAGCACCTATGCCCTTTCTCTCATTCTTAGATGCCTTTCTCACTGCTTTCTCTAATTTTCTGGAAGCTCCACAAACTCCTACATCAGTCTAAATTCTACACCCTTTTTATTGCCTGTTTTATACAGATATAGAAAATATCTTTAGTTTCCTTTGGCTGGGCTCCATTTTCTTTTGCCTCTTTAAGAATCAGTCCCATCCCCCCATTTAAACGCTCTCTTACTTTTCTAACTGACACAGTTTCTCCCCAAAGTGGGTGTTTTCTTAGTTTACGTGAAAGTCTTGGAGGGTAGGTACCTTTTAGAAACTTATTTCATGTAGAACACAGAACTGCACGATCTGTGTCTTTTACATCTAAAAATTTCCTCCGACAGTTGGCTTCTTTCCCATTGTTCTTTACGGTCTGGTGCCAGATACTTATGTAGTAAATCTATCTGAGCAGAATATAAATTCTTCAAATCTATGAGTTTCAAGACACATTTAGTTCAGCAGAACCTGAAATAATATGTGTTTTTGTATAATCTGGGTATCCTCACCAGGGATCTCAGTGTTCCTTTCTATAGCCAAAAAATTACCACAGTCCTGGTTTCATTTAACTATACATCAGAACCAAAGTTCTGGCTTGTTGCACCTCTGGCATATAATACCAGAATTTACCTTTGTCTTATGTGACTTGTTTACTGCTATGCTCAATAGAAGTGATATTTAAAGCTGAGCCACAGTTTAAATTTTTTTTTTTTTTTTTTGTAGACAAGCTCATATCTGCTCCATGCTTACCGTCATAAGTCAAGAGACACTTTCAAGGTTAACAGGAATCTTTCTAGGACAGAAATAATATTAATTTGTTCCTCTTGCCTAAAAAAGACTTTGATAGTCATCATGGCTTCATTTTCCTTAAAAGAGTATTATGAGGGCCTCCCCTGGTGGCACAGCAGTTGATCGCTGGGCTGCAAGGCTGCCCAGCAAGGCTGCCCACAGCCTCTGCAGCACCGGTTCATTCCCCCGCCGATGGTGAGGGTCCCACCAAAAAAAAAAGAGCATTATGAAATAACTGTGGAGCATATAGGGTATCTGGTCGAAAAATAAATTTACAGCAAACCTAGACAGAAGTCCAGAAAACAGTGTTGGCTTAAGTTGATACAAAGAGAAGAGAGGAATGTCTCCACACCTCCTATCTCCTCCCTGCATGTGTCACTCTAGTGCTGAGTGTGTGGGTGTATGTATCTGGGCTGGAGAAAGGGAGGAAAAACCCCTGAACCAGGTGTTATAATCCGAAACATGAAGAAAGCAATGGAATAATTTGATAAGTTCATGTCTGGGAGGTTATCCATAGACTCACCCTGAAGAGTGTATCAAATGAGTTTGGTTGGGTGGTTAATTTGCTCAAATGAAAAATACGGTGACTTATAGTATGACACTTTTCATGCCATTTTATAATTTGGGAAGTGATGATGTTACAGTTACTTTATACACAATCTTTTTTTTTTAATTTTATTTTTATATTCCCCATACAATTGCAACCCCCTTATTTTGACCCCAAACCCTCCCTTCCCCGCCCCCCACCCCCCCATAGTGTGTCTCTGGTTCATATTTGTTTATTGATTTTGATTTTTTATTTCTTATAGTTATTCTTTTTCCTGGTCCCTTATTTAGGTTTTCTAGATTCCTGCTATGTGTGAGACCATCCAGTATTTTTCTTTTTCTTTCTGGCTTATTTCGCTGAGCATGATCCCTTCCAGTGTCATCCATGTTGCTGCAAATTGCATGTGTTTATATTTTTTGAATGCTGAGTAATATTCCATGGTGTATATGTACCACATCTTCTTGACCCAGTCATCTATTTTAGGGCATTTGGGTTGTTTCCAAAGCTTAGCTATTGTAAATAGTGCTGCTATAAACATAGGGGTGCAGGTGCTCTTTGGAATTGATGTTTCTGTGTCCGTTGGGTAAATACCTAAGAGTGGAATTGTTGGATCATATGGGAGCTCTATCTTTACTAGGTTGAGGAATCTCCACAGAGATTTCCATAGTGGTTGGACCAGTTTGCACTCCTACCAGCAGTGCAGGGGAGTTCCTTTTTCTCCACTTCCTCGCCAACATTTGTTGTTGCTAGTTTTTTTAATATGTGCTATTTTCTCACTGGTGTGAGATGGTATCTCGTTGTAGTTTTGATTTGCATTTCCCTGATTACAAGTGATTTTGAACATTTTTTCATATGCCTGTTGGCCATTTGCATTTCCAGAGGATTAATCTTGAGATTAGATTTAGTGTTCCACCTTCCAAAGAACTGGGTTCAGATCATTCCCTGGTTGGTGAACCAGACAACTTCCATTTGCTACTACGCTGGGCTTTTGAATTCCAGGAGGACAGAAGATCCTTTGTTTAGGACCTTGCCTTATGTGTCTCTTCATCTGGCTCTTGATTTGTATCCTTTAAAAGCCATTTTAATAAACCTGTAATATAGTGAATAAAATGTTTTCCTGAGTTATGTGAGCCTCTCTAGCAGGTTAATTGAATCCAAGGGGGAAGTCTTGGCAACCCAATGGTCAGAAGCACAAGTATAAACTTGGGGTGGTGATTAGCATCTTAAGTGGAAGGTGGAAGGCAGAAGCAGTCTGGTGGGAGTAAGCCTGAATCTTTGAAATCTGATTCTGTCTTTGGTTAGATAGTGTCAGAGTTGAATTAGTTGAATTGTAGAACACCCAGCTGATTAGTTGCTGGTGTGGGGAGATACCCATGCCCCCCCATACTTAATAATTGGTGATCAGAATCACACTTGATGCACACTTGATGCTGTAATTTCCCTCACACATTTGCTTAATTAAATTAAATGGTTGTTACAATACCTATATTATCCTGCATTGTGAAATTATGCATTTAAAATTATTTTTATTTATTTATTCATACAAGAACTGGGGTATAGGCTGGAGGTTTGGGGTGGGGGGGTGAGAAGATTCACCAGAGACAGAGTGGGGAGCAGAACAGGCAGATCTACTGAAATACACTGCTGAGGGGAGCAGCGGGCAAGTCAGGAGAGGTCTGCTGTGCCATGTGGGTCAGCTCCCTGGCTGGGGATTGAACTCATGCCTCAGCGGATGGCAATAGCTTGATAGTGCTGAGACTTTAACCCCTGTGCCAGCAGTGAGGCCTGAAGTTCTGCATTTGTGTAGTTATTGCAAGAACACTTCGTGTTAACGAAAACTAATTTTTGAATTTTTCATAAAAATGGTGGGCCTCCCTGGTGGTGCAAGGGGTTAAGAAGCACAACACTATGAGGCTGTTCCCAGCCTCTGCAGCACAATTTTGATCCCTGGCCAGCTAGGGAGCTGCCCACATGGTGCAGCAGACCTCTCCTGTCTCACTCGCTGCTCCCCTCAGCAGTGTGTTTCAGTCAGCCTGCCTATTTGGTTCCCCTCTCTGTCTCTGGTGATCCTCTCACCATCCAGCCCCCCCCCCCACACCTCTGGCCTGTACCCCAGCTCTTGTATGATAGATAAATAAGTCTTTTTTTAAAAAAAAAAGGTGTGTAGCTTTACTGTTCAATAGCATTTGAAGCTCTAAAGGTAGTAAGAGTAGATGACTTTACAGGGTTACACTGAATGCTGTTTTGCTCCTATTCTCGGGGGCCTAACTTCTTCTGGAGGAAACATTGCAACATCAACTCACAAACATTCATAAACTCACTTGCAGACTAAGTGGGCCCATAGGAGGGATTACTTCAAATTTACCCAGAGGATAAATAAACACACATTCTACATAACTTGGACCTAACTCTAATGCAAGCCACCATCTATTCTAGATGTTCCCTTTTTTCCCGGGTGTTTCAATAACAGAATCTGCTCAATAGTTGATCTAATCAGTATGGAAATAACTTAAAAAGAATTGATGGCAAGTCCAATCAGTTCAATAAGACTGTGTGTCTACGTGTGCCCATGTGTGCATTTGTATGTGTACATTCCTGTATCAATAAACATGATTTCTAGGTGTCCCATCTCACTTTACCCATTTCAGAACATTAAGTTATTGGTTGAAACCTTTGAGTGGACAGATTTCTTTATTAACAATGGGTACCCATAAAAATAAATTCTAGAATGACACCAGCTTTAAGCAATGATTACGAAGTTAACATGTTCCCAAATGGGCTTTTTGAGTACTGACTAATTATTACATCATAATTCCCCAGGGGTCTTTTAGCTACAGTTTTAAAAACTGTTCATTACAAATAAAATGAGCTCCTGGGAAAATGCAGGTGAACCTTGCCAAATCAGTATCACTCGTGAAAACTAAAATATGCCAAATGAGTAAATCAGGCACTTGTTTATTTACTCAGATAATTCTTTAATATGCACCTATTTATTTTTATATGGATTATAGCATAGATTATTCAGACACTATAGATTCATAGGAAGTCACAAAATGTAGTAGATGGGCTTCGTCAACTTTTCACTGAACTTTCCCCAGTGATGATATCTTTCTTGCTATAGTATAATAGCAAAACCAGGAAACTGACATTGATATAATAGTGCTAATAAGATAGACTCTATTCAGTTTTCTCTGTGTGTGTGTTTCTCTCTATGCATTTTGATTCTATGTATAGTTTTCTGTAACTGCCACTACAATCAAGAAACAGAATTATTCTATAGCCTTAAGAAACTCACTACCCTTTTAGTTGAATTCATGCCCATCCCAAAACACTAACCTGTTTTCCATCTGTATAGTTTTGTCATTCAAGAGTCTTGTAAGTATGTAATCATTCAGTATACAACCCTTGGAGATTGGCTCTTGGTAAATTTAGATTGGCTTAGTATTCCTACACATCCCCTAAGGGGTCTAGTTAACAAGAGGACTGAGATTCTCATAAAACAATCAATACAGGTCTGCAAATAAGGGTTCTGTTGCATCACTGTTTATAACAAGGTTAATTGTGTCATTTGAAGCCCACTCAATATTCACCTTCATTAGTAAAACATCTCATTTACTTATTCACTTGTCATTCACTGTGTCAGAAATTGTGTGTGTGCTATAAACGTCTCATATTTTTATTTTACTTTTTGCTCAAATTTTATTAATTTGTCAGTCACTTATATGGATGCATATATGTATAAATAACTATGCATAAATACATATGCATCGCTAACCCTGCACTAAAACTCATGTGCTGATGTCCTGTCCCCTTCCTTTCCCAATTCCCTTCTCACTCCCCCAGCTCCCTCTGGGAACCAGTATATTTTCCACAGAGAGTCTAAGAATAATTTTTGATGTGCTTTGCCAGTTTGTGTTTTTGGTTATTTATAGACCACAAATAAGTGAAACCATCTTGTATCTATCTTTTACTTTCTGACTTATTTCACTTAGTATAATCACCTCAAAATCCATTAATTTTGTTCTGAGAGGCACAATGTTATCTTTTTAAAGAATTGACTAGTATTCCATTAAGCATAGATTCTATACTTTCCTTATCCAGTTGTCTGTCATTGGGCACTTGGGTTGGTTCCATAACTTAACTATTGTGAATAATGCATCTATGGACAGAGAGTGTTTCAATCTTTTCATATTAGAGTTTTCATATTCTTTCGTTAAATACCTAGCAGTGGTATTGCTGGATCACATGGTATTTTCATTTTTAGTTTGAAGGCAACTCCATACTCTTTTTCATAGAAGCCACACCAAAATACACTTCCATCAATAGTGAATGGGTGTTCTTTTTTTCTCTACATTTTCTTTCTTTTCTACTATGTCACATTGTTGCAATTTTATGTATCAAGAGTCAGGAAACCTGAGTTCTCACTCTGAGGCTAATTAGTGTGACTGCTAAGATATGCCCTTTAACCTTTGGCTTTTCAATCTTCTTGTCTTGTGATTTCTTTATAAGTGCTAAGTATCATTGTTATTAATATTATTTTTTGTATAAACAGCATAATTTATAGGAATAAATGAGCAATATATCAATAAAAAGTTATCTATATGAAAACATGAAAAACCTTTTAAATAAATGAAAGCTCAATTTAGTCACAGAAACTATAATAGTTCTCTCCAAAATGAGTGGATGTGTGGATGGGTAGCTGGATGACTGGCCTGGGTTGTTCAGTGCTCCATCGATATTGGTTCTGGCTTCTCTTTGATTGAGCCTAGATCGGACTATAGAGGAGAGTTAAGGACTAATGGATTCAACGTCTGTTTATTTTACTTTCTTGTTTTCAAAATTCAATTCCAAAATAAAAGAGTTTTGTAAAACCTAGTCAGCATTCACATCTGGAAATTCTGCTAAGTTGGTAAGCTCTAGGTGACAAAAATGATGACCTTCAAATTCATCATCAATGTCATTAAAATGAAAGCATTCTCTTACTTTGGACTGATGGATCAGTTTCCACATGTGACTCCTTTCCCACAAAAATATGACAAATATATTAAGCTAAATATTTCCAAGTGTGGCTCAGTCCTTTAAGTGATTTCCCAGATTTTCAC